TGGAAGGAACTTCAAACTTCAAATCTCCAGCTGCCTCCACTGCCTTGCTTCTCTGGTGATCCCAAAGCTTGTTGGGGCTTCATCAATCAGTGCTCAATTCACTTTAAACTAGCAGCCGACCATTTTCCTACTGACCGTTCCAAGGTGGCGTACATGATTTCCCTTCTTTCTGGTGAAGCACTGACTTGGGCCTCGCCACTGTGGGAGCGTCAAGATCCTACAATTTCCAGTCTGCCAGCCTTCCAGCAGGACTTCCATAAAACCTTTGATGTGTCAGGCAGGACTTCATCTGCTGCGGGAGCTTTTCTTCTGCTTCGTCAAGGTAGCATGACTGTTGGTCAATATGCACTTCAGTTTTGCACCTTAGCTTTGGAACTGACATTTACAAACAAATGCAGGAAAATTACAGCTTAACAGCTTCCCCTCTGCCCTATAGCAGAAATACTGCTACAGCACGTGATTTAGCATTTCCTGGTAGGGGAGAGTACTCGAGCCGTGCCGCCATTTGCGACCTTCAGCTGTCAATCACCGGGTCCCGAATGGTGATTACTCGCCAGCACCCAGTGATCGCTGAGTATTACCAATGGAAGAGAGACCTGTGTATAAACAACACAGATCTCTCCCCTGTCAGCTCCTGCATAGCATAACCATACAAAACAGTGTGCTTACAGTGAAGCACACACACAGCACGTAATGTGAAACAGCACACAGTTAATCCTGCCCCGTGCCATTAGTACAGTGTAAGTGCTTTTTATTATCACTGATCACTGTATTGGTGTCACTGGGGATGTCAGTGACACCAAGTCAGTTCACCTCAGTGTCAGGATGCCCATCGCAGTCCCACTATAAGTCGCTGATCGCCGCAACTAGTAAAAAAAAAAAAATTAATAAAATTCCAGTATATATACCACCATTTGTAAACGCTAAAACTTTCACATAAACCAATTATTTACATGTATTAGGATTTTTTTTTAGCAAAGACATGTAGAAGAATACATTTTGGCCTAAATTTATGATGAAAATTGATTTTTTACAATTTCAATTGGACATGTTTAATAGCAAAAAGTAAAAATTATAGTATTTTTCTGAAAATTGTCAGTCTTCTTTTGTTTACAGCGCAAAAAATAAAAAAAAAACACAGGCGAAAGAAATCTCTATTTGTGGGGAAAAAAAGGACATACATTTCATTTGGGTGCAGCATTGCAGGACCACGCAATTGTCAGTTGCTTCAATCTATTGGTAAACAAATCACCTGGAGATTCACTTTGTCTATACTGGACCCTTATCCCTTGTCCTAGGTGACTGTCTGGTAAACCAACTGGGGCTAATACTTTACTTGAGGCCAGAAGTTATCACCCACGCTCATTAATTACTGGGATTCCAGTTGGACAGTTTCTAAGGTGTCGAAGAAACTGTTCCAACATTAATGATTTTAGATTAGAGGCACAAGACCTCTATAAAAGATTTAGGGAACGAGGATATTCCCCCTACCAAATCAGAAGGGCTAGGAAACGGGCATATCAAACTGATCGTAAAATGTTACGGTCTCCAAAAAAGGAAGAGAAAGGGAAACAAGTAGTACAACTGGTCAGGATGATAACCCAGTTTGGAGCACACTGGACATATACTGGAAAAACATTGGCAAATTATTACACAGTGCCCTAAACTTGGTAAAATTGTAGGTGAGCATCCACTAATGGTAGCAAGAAGAGCACCAAATCTTGGTGATTTGCTTATTCACTCTGACTATCAACCATTAAAACAATCCACATGGTTGAAGTCACATACTAAGGGGATGTATAGATGTGGAAAATGTCAAATTTGCAAGTTTGTAGATCATACAGATATATTTTCAGATTCAAATAATAAAGCTCACTTTAAAATTCAAAGCCTTATAAACTGCTCTACAGCTAGAGTACTCTACATGTTGACCTGTCCATGTAAAAAAATGTATATTGATAGAACTAAAAGGCAGCTTAAAGTGCAAATAGGTGAACATTTTAGGGATATTAAGTCTAATGACCCTGAAAGCAATTTAGCTCAACATTATGCGAAGTACCTTGGAGGCAGATTAGAGGGTACCAAAGTTAAAGGAATTTATGCACTCAATTTCCCACAGAGGAGAGGTGATTTTGATAGAGAACTCCTAAAACATGAAAAACACTGGATATATAAACTTGAAACTCTATTTCCAAAAGGGTTAAATATTGAATGTGATCTCTAACTGTTTTTGGAAAAATAAGTAGATGTATAGTATAATAAATTGGTTGCGCCACCTTGTAGCAACTAGGATGGCTATCATCAAATCCCTCTAGCTAATAGCTAATTTAAAAATGAATAGTCCCTCTTTTTGTGTACCCAGGTGTTTATTCTTTTTAATAGCAGTGTATGACCATTTTTTTGCTAAGTAATTAGCCTTTTTGCCATTGAGTACTATTGCCAACAATTGATTTGCATATGTGGACGGTTACAACTCCATTATAAATAGAGAGTGAAAGGCAGGTGTCTCATTGGTCCTGATGAAGCCGAGTGAGATACGCCTATCAGTGAAACGCGTTGACATACGTCAGACACGTCACTTCTGGTCGCATGCATTGGCGCCATACACGCTGACCAGCAGGGAAGCCAGCCATATACGCTGGCCATGAGCGGTGCAAGGCTGCACAAGTACCAAGGGAGGAGCCCACTAGATAACAGTCCCGATGATGGCGGCTGCCTCCGGGACTGCGCTTGGCCATTCAGACGAAGGAAACTCTGGAAGAGTATCACCTATGGCTTGGGTGGTGAGTGAACTGCTGCACAGCTAAATGAAATAAGGCGCATGTCTGCCATTTAATACATTTACCACAAGAAACACATATTGATTGACTGTCCATATGTCACCTTTGTTACAGGATGGGGACAGTATGTTTGACAGTATAGGTGCAAGGCACCCTTCACTTATTACAAGACACGAAGGACCCAGTAATCTATATTACTACATCAATACTAAGGTGGTTAATAGCCCGCATGTCACGGTGAAGAAACCCCTTGGGGCAGGGCCATGCCATTTCTACAATACAGAGGAAACCAAGGGTGATTCTTTCATTACTGACTCTGTACTCAAACAAAATGGACATGTCCACTGTGATTCTATATTTCACCACCTACTCTTGCCTTAATAATTTGCAAATGCCTATCTGGTTATTACAGAGGCTACTGCATCCCTATATGTTTTTACAATTTTTCACCTACATTGCCTGGTTAGGTTTATGGGTAACAACATTATTGTCACTTGGTGCTCGTCATCAGCCATTATTGCTATGCATATTATGCCGATATGGTACAATTTTTTGATACACTTCCTGCATGGTGGTGTAACCAATGTGTCGGTGCTGCAAATATATTAGGTAGTTGTCACTATGTCTGCAGCACATTAGCACAAAGACTGGTCTTGATGTTGCTTTTATGTGATTTTAGGTCTGTTTTTGTATTATCTCATATTGAGGTGATGGTGAACTGAGGTATTTACCTTAATTGTCCACATGTGTATTGTGTAATAAAGCATAATTTTTGGAACTACTTATAATATCGCATTCTGTCCATAATGTAACCACTTATTTGAGAATCTCTTTTCACGTTTCCTTTTTTGCATCCCTGTTTTTTAGTTACTGGGCAGAGAATATACATCTAGCGATATAATATTTATGAGCCGCTGATCCTTCTCTTATTTACGAGGGTCTGGTATTGACCCTATGCAAAAAAGTATGAAAGCCCCCAATTTCTATACCACATCATGAGGTATAGCTTTTAGGGGGAGCCCCACAAACACATTGAGACCAGGAGGAGAGAAATACGTTTGACCCCAAATGAACCATATCAAGCCACATACCCTCAACATGGGGGGGGGGTTACCATAACCCTTCGCAAAGCACCTTGTCCCCATGTCACTGAGGACAAGGGTCTCTTCCCCATAACCATGGCCAGGTGGTTATGGGGGTCTGCAGGTGGGAGATTTAGTGGAGTCTGGAAGCCCCCATTAACAGTAAGAAGACTCCCAGATACTGGTTACCCCTTTATGTGAATAAGTAAGGAGTACATAGTACACCCACTCATTTACAAAAAAAATGTAAATCATTAAACAAAAACACAAACATGGTTTCTGATGAATACTTAAATTTAAAATAAAACTGTCCCATGATGTACATTCACCAGCAATAACATTGGCCATCAATATAGCTCCAGGTCAATCATTACACGAACCACCATCAAAGGAAAAACTCTGGCCGCTGACACAACTGATCCTGTTGAAAGACTTTACCGTATATGTTTAATGATGCCACAGGGTTACTAGCAAAATGTATATAAAGCAGCATTCTACTGTCAATGGTTGTTAAGGACACCAATGGGTGCAGGCACCATTGAGTAATTAACAACCAGTTTCTTCACTGGTCCCAATCCGTTACATGGCCAGGAATAATTGGGAATATAAGCAAAGGAGCCAGGGATAATTAGAAAAAGGCATGTGGGTCCCCTTAGAAATCAATACCAGACCCTTATCTGAACATGCATCTTGGCAGGCCAGAAAGGGGGGAACATGTGGCCAAATGCACTCAATATAAAGAGGTATCTTGCCAGGGGGGCACTCCTGGTGAGACACCATGTCAAGGTCCTCCATTCATAGCTCACAAAATACAGGTATATGAATGGAGGGGGATTGACCTTTTAATAAACTGTCCATCTTTCATTAGTAGATGACATTTCATAGAAGCTACAGAAATGGCATCTATACAGTAAATGGAGGAGCTGGGCAGAAAAGGCAGGCATGGTTTGGTACTGTTGATGAGTGCCTGTCACAGCTCCCTTAGTTCTACTAACCCCTGATGCACCAAAAGATAACAGTGGCAGGGGTGAAGGACATCAGAGGTGGAAGATTTCTATTAAATCAGGAACCAACAGCACAATGTATACTTTTTACTGAATGTATGTAATATCCCTTTTGCTGATTTTGTATTTATTTTTTTAAGTAAAGTTAAACTTTAAAGAGAGAGAGTGCTGTAATGTATACAAAAGACAGTCATTGTTTGTTAGGGCTTGTTCACACCATGTGCTGTGGTCTGAGTTAATCTGATTTCTTAATGCAAGGGCACATACAGGGGCGGACTGACCATTTGGAAACTCGGGCACTGCCCGAGGGCCCGGGGTCAGTAGGGGGCCCCATGAGATGCCCCTGGTACCTTTTTTTATAGTCTTTTTTTGAGTTTAGGCAAGGACATGGGCCCCATGAGTTGCCCAGGGCCCCATGAGTTGTCAGTCCACCCCTGGGTACATACTGTAAGAAACAACCGTTTTCAATCTGCCCTGTTCTTACTTTTTTGTACTGCACTTCATGGCAGTGCATCTCACAACACTGCATTGAAGTAAATTAAACATAATTTCACTGCTGATACCCAACATACATCAGCCTGCACGCTAAAATGACCCACTATACAGTAGTGTGGACTGGTATGAACAAACCCTTAGGCAGAGGAATACAATATTTTGATTGTATATTTTGCTACTTTATCTTGCTTACCAACTTGGGGGGGTAGCTTAAATTGAATAGAATTTCTCAGAGGATAACTGAATTCACTTGACTGCCATTTCCAACTCGTTCTGGAGTTTAACATTTGTGTGTACTGTGATTGATATTTCATTGGCTTAAATTTAAAAAGGACCAGTAAAGCCGACTGCAGATTTTTCAGAGATTATGTCTCAGAGTATTATGTTCGTACCATGTTTTAGAAGAAAATATTTTAGAGCTTCTTTTATTTTCGGTGTTTCTTTTTATTTGGCCTCATGGATAACAATAACATGCAGTAACAACATTTTATTCCTTGTTGCTTTGCAAAAGCGAATCCCTGTACATTTATGATGACAGCAGACTTATTGTTCTAATACTCTACTCTCTGAACTAATACATATGTATTGCAAGGCAATGTTATCACTTATTCAATAGGCCCATAGGGTCATCTTATAGATTCTTTTACTGAATTCTTTCTCCATGTGGTGATTTTTTATCAGAAACATTTTAAGTTATTTAAATAAATGTATAAACCTTACATACAAGCAAAATCTATGCGTTTGAGAATCTCTGTAACCTTTATTAATGTCATAGCAAATGTCTAGAATTCATGCTGTACCACAGAGTGTAAATGATATAACACATTTCTGTCGTCGTGTTTTTTAAAAAAAAAAAAAAAGTTAAAGACAGTAGTTTTATGAAAACATAATTAAATTATATAAGAAAGCTTATGTTTTTGAGTCCTGTTCTTTTAAGTTTTTCAAGATACTATTTTTAACTAGTGATGGGCCGAACGCCCCCCTGTTTGGTTCGTGGTTAAGCATTCAAACCTAGCAAAAGTTCAACTGCGAACTTCGAACCCAGGGGACAATTCACAAATCGGTATCTTACCACATCCAAGTATGTGGTAAGATACCGAACAGCATTTATCCAAAAAAGTTTGGCATTCACTAAAACATGCTACTAAAATACTGCATCAGTTATTTTATTAAGTTGTGCAGTATTTTAGTAGTGAAAACATGCAGTAATGTTTCACCTGTCAGCGAGGTTCCCCAGTGACAGTGGAATGTAAATAGCTCAAAATCCATACCAGACCCCAAGGACTTGCTATAGCTGGGGGGGGTCCGTTTTTTTTGTTAAATTTATAATTGCTGGCAATTTTTACATTCAGCTGTCAATGGGGAACCCCGCTGACAGCTGAAACATTACTGCATGTTTTTACTAATAAAATACAGCTTGACTTAATAAAATACCTCATGCTGTATTTTAGTAGTGTTTTTTAGTAAATGCTAACTTTTTTTTTTTTTTTAAATGCTGTACGGTATCTTATCGCATTCTCGGATGTGGTAAGATATTGCTTAGTGAATTTTCCCCAAATTCCTTTTAAATATCATGCCTGGGGGTCCCCTTAAACTACCTGCTAGGTTTCACATCTGTACAATGTATAGAGCCTTCTGCAGCAGGACTGACATTTTTTTAAAAAAAATTGCATTTTTATATAAAAAATAAAAGTGTGGGGTCCCCCTCTAATCCTTAACAGATCCTTTAGGTCTGGCAGGAAGGTTAGGAGGGACCTCACAGTAAAGAAAATTGCATGAGGTTCCCCCTAAACATCATACTAGGGCCTTTAGGCCCAGTTGGACATTTAAGGGGAACCCCCACCCAAAAAAATGGGAGCAAAGTGTGGGGTCCCCACTAAATTCCTACCAGACCCTTGATCCAAGCACAGTCCAGGCAGGCCAGGAAAGGGGGGGCAACTAGCACCCCCCTCCTGACCTGTACTGGACCACATACCCTCAACATGGGGAGGTGCTGTGGGGCAGGGGGCTCCCCACCAAAGCACCTTGGGGACAAGGGCATCTTCCCCACAACCCTGGCCTGTGGTTGTGGGGGGGGGGGTGACTCCTCAGAATCTGGAAGCCCCATTTAACAAGGGGGCTCCCAGATCCCGCCTCCCCATGTGAATGAGTTTAAGGTACATGGTACAGCTACTCATTCACCAAAAAAAGTAGTATAAAAAATGACAGACAGTCTTTGACTAGTCCCTTTTATTAATAAAAAAAAAAGATAAAAAAAATGGTTCCATCGATGTAATCCATCATCAATCACGGTGCCCAGAGTTGTAACAATGCTGCAGACTCACTGAATTAAAAAAAAAACATGCCCGCAGACCCATCCACACCTGCCGATCACTCGCCCCTATCTGATATTTGTTGGTCAGATTGAAATAATTGGGTGGAGCTAGCGGTGACATCACCACTAGCTCTGTCCAATTGTGCTGTGATTGGCCAAAGGGGTGGACTGACCATTTGGAAACTCGGGCACTGCCCGAGGGCCCGGTGTTAGTAGGGGGCCCCATGAGATGCACCTTTTTCATAGGCTTTTTTGAGTTTGGGCAAGGACACAGGCCCCATGATCCCCTATTGCCCGGGGGCCCCATGAGTACTCAGTCCACCCCTGGTCAGGTGCATTGGTTTGGCCAATCACAATGCACTGTCAGAGTGGAATGCATTTGGGGTGCGGCAGGTGAACAGCCCGCCAAACGCTCTAACCGTTTGTGTGTTCGCAAAACACACTAACACCTGACTTATGTTCCACTCTAACATCTAGAACATCCCTATTTTTAACTGGTGTTCTATATTTTAACTATGTATATAAAATCTTTGTTTTACCCATAAACATTTATATAGGGGTGCAAATATGACACTGGCATCACAGAGCATTATAGGGTTTCTAAACTTTAACAGTGGAAGCTGTGTGCCTTTTAGACTCTTTCTCTGATTTGAAACTGCAAAAGGCCTGCAAAAGGGTCACTACTAAGACATTCAGTTATATGTGCATTTGAGCTTGAACAACCGTTTTATTTTTAAATATATACTGTGTGTATGTATATATATGTGTGTGTGTGTGTGTATATATATATATATATATATATATATATATATATATGTGTGTATATATATATGTATATGTATGTGTATATATGTGTGTGTGTGTGTGTGTGTGTGTGTGTGTGTGTATATATATGTGTGTATGTATATATATATATATATATATATATATATATGTGTGTTTAGGACAAACCGCTCTCCACATGGTCCTAAGGAGCTATACCCTTGAACTATATATATATATATATATATATATATATATATATATATATATATACACAGTGCTCAGCATAAATGAGTACAACCCTTTTGAAAAATAAGATTTTAATCATTATCTCAATGCACATAACACAAGAACAACTCCCAAAATTCTGACAAAACTGAGTTTTATAGAACATTTGTTTAGCTCATTATAGGTTAATAATATAAATTGGATTACAAAATATTCAGTTTTACCCAAATTAGTTGATGCAGAAATGAATACACCCCACAACAAAAACTACTCCAAGTATTTTGTATGACCTCCTTGATTTGTCAGGACAGTACCAAGTCTTCTAGACATGGAATGAACAACTTGGTGACATAATGCAACAACTATCTTTTTCCATTCTTCAAGAACGACCTCTTTTAGAGCCTGGATGCTGGATGGAGAGTAATGCTAAACCTGTCTCTTCAGAATTCCCCATAGGTGTTCGACTGGGTTCAGATCAGAAGACATACTTGGCCACTGAATCACTTTCACCCTGTTCTTCTTCAGAAATGCAACAGTGGCCTTAGTTGTGTGTTTTGGATCATTGTCATGTTGGAAAAGTGCACGACAGCCAAGGGCATGGAGTTATGGTAGCATCTTCTCTTTCAATATAGAGCAGTACATCTGTGAATTCATGATACCATCAATAACATGCAGCTCCCTGAAACCAGCAGAACTCATGCAGCCCCACAGAAATACACTGCCACCACCATGTTTCACTGTAGCCACCATGTATTTTTCTTTCTACTCCTCACCTTTGTGACACCATACAGATTTAAAGCCGTCAGTTCCAAAAATATTTATATTGGACTCATTACTCCAGAGTACAGAGTCTCAGTAGTTTTCTACTTTTTCAGCATGGTCCCCGGCAAATTCTAGGTGGGCTTTTTTGTGCATGGGCTTTAGGAGAGGTTTCCTTCGTGGAAGACACCCATGTATGTCATTCCTCTGCAGTGTACACCGTATTGTGTCACGGAAACAATCGCCCCTGTTTGGCTTTCTACTTCTTTAGCTAACTGCAGTGAACTTGCATGGGAATTTTCTTCAACCCTTCTCATCAGAAGATGCTTTTGTTGAGGTGTTAACTTCGGTGGATGGCATGGACGTCTCTGTGAGATGGTTGCAGTTCCATCTTTGTTAAATGTTTTTATCACTTTTGCTACAGTATTCTGACTGATAAGTAAAGCTTTACTGATCTTCTTGTAACCCTAGCCTTTCTTGTGTAAAGAAACTATTTCTTTTGACATTTCTCTTTCATGTGGTACCATTGCTGACAGCATGAAATGGAAAAGGGTTTTCTTTAAGTAACGCCCTTTTATAATTAACTGTCTGCTGAACGCCTGTTTAATGAATAATTAGACTCACCTGTATTTTGTTGATTTTGTCTACAATATAGCTTTGCTCCTAAGACTTTCATTAGGGTGTATTCATTTTTGCAACATAGCCTTGAATTAACTCATTTATACTGAGCAGTGTGTGTGTATGTATGTATATGTGTGTTTATACACATAAGACGTACCTGACCATAAGACGCGTAGGTTTTAGTACAGGAGATGTCCAGCGACTGCGGACACAGTGCAGGAGATGACCGGAGACTGCGGACACAGTGCAGGAGATGACCGGAGACTGCGGACACAGTACAGGAGATGACCGGAGACTGCGGACACAGTACAGGAGATGACCGGAGACTGCGTACACAGTACAGGAGATGACCGGAGACTGCGTACACAGTACAGGAGATGACCGGAGACTGCGTACACAGTACAGGGGATGACCGGAGACTGCGTACACAGTACAGGGATGACCGGGAGACTGCAGACAGTACAGGGGATGACCCAGAGACTGCGGGCCTTTGGGGAGGGAGGGGGAGCGGGTATCCGCTACTTCTTCCACACAGTTGTCCTCCTTTTTGTGTGGGCACCCGACTTTGTCTGTCTGTGCCGGGTGCCCACTGCGCATGCACGAGAAGCGCTGTGCTTTGTGAATGGCCTGGCGTCTTCTGGGACCTGTCATGTGTCCCAGAAGACATCGGTCAATTCTCAAAGTGCAGCGCTTCTCGCGCATGTGCAGTGTGCACCCGGCTTTCACACCCGGGTGCCCACACTAACGATGGCAGCGCGGGAAGACTGCACAGTGCTGGACTGAGGAACAGGTAAGGTCCTGCTGCTGAGTGGCCTGCCCTGTATTCTGACACGGCGGCGGCGGAAATACTGAACCGACAGCTCCATATTTGCTCTATAAGATGCACTGACATTTTCCCCCCTTTTTTTGGAGGAAAAAAGTGCGTCTTATGGAGCGAAAATACGGTAACGTGTTTTATAGGCAAAAAATGTGCATTTATTATTTTTACACAGGAGCCTGCAAAATATTGCACCTGCAATCAGTGAATCGAGGATGAAATGTCAGGCTCCATCAGACACTTCTGTAGCTCTCTGCCTGTATTTCTATACAGTTTTATAGTTACTGAGCTACAAGTAGTGTCAGTGGACTACTGGTGTACAGTACAGCGCACTCATAGTTCATTGAGAACTACATGTCCATCTGCTGCAGTGGCAGATGGAAATTGTAGTTAATTCTTAGAACTCTGAATTCAAAAAATTGACAGTGACTGCAAAGGAATATAATCTCCACCCACTGTCACGGGGGGGGGGCGGGGCTCAGGACGTGAGCTTCAGCAACATGTTAAACCTTAAATCTGGGTGTAACATGTTGCTAAAGGGGGAGATTTTCTTAAATATATTACAATTTATTAACCGTACAGAAAAGCAATCATACTGCATGTGGCTGTGCTTTTAAATTTATCACCAAATCAACAAAAGATACAAACCAGTGAGCATAGTACAGTCAACAAATTAATGACACTTGTCTAAATTATATTTTTAAATCTGTGCATCCATTTAGAGACTAGATCCATCTATTCTCATTCACGTTGAACTGTTGGACCATGAATGTATAAATTATGGCAAATCTAAACTAAACATTTATTTTATGCTACACAATTTGTTGACCATCTCTAACATCATACTCTTGATAAAGTTCAATTTCATGCAACAGTAATTGATGTGTCTATATTCAGACAGTGACACAGTGGTTAACCAGTGAGTGTAAATAATTTTGTCAGTATCCTGCTGACATTTAGTGAGTTGTTCTGGCAAATATATGGAAGCTTCATCAGAGAATTATTATTTTAAGAACAAAATAATTAAATAGTGAAGATGTATTTATTCCTGATTGAAAAATTTAAACTGACATGTAAAAACTGACCACTTTTAGATCAAAACACACCTTTTATTGAAATATACTGTATGCATTACTTGATAGGGCTATTGGCTTTAAGGCTAGTCTGTTAAGGTTTTCATGTATGCATGGTATAACTAGTAGTAGTCACATTCAGCTAGACTTGTTTAGTAATGTTAAAATTCTGTACCACTCATCCAAGTGGCTCCATCAGCTACTCAGGCTCTTTCATGAAGGTGTTTGGGGGGTTCTAAGGGTGCATTCACACCTGCAAATGCACCCTGTCTGAGATTAAATGCCATAACCCCAACAGGGTTCTCTCTATTAGCAGTAAGTAGGCAGCCCCATTGAAAACAATGAGACTGCTGGCTCTCACAGCTAATTACGCCTACTCACATGTAATTTACCAAGCAACAATCACATGCAAGTGATCGCCCATGGGCATAGGCAGTCCAGGGCTGAACATATACATGTGATCACTGCATGAATGATCACATGCGAGTGGGTGCAGTTAGCTGTGAGAGCCAGAAACTTCCCATTGCTTTCAATGGGGATGCCTACTGGCAGCAACATGTAAAAGCCCCCTATAGGGTTCTTGCATTTAATTGGATGAATGTACCCAAAGATTAAACTTTTTAAGCAACTACAGCCAAAATATTTGGTAAATTTTGTCTCACTTCTGGCCCAGAGAAACAACCAAAAGAGAGAAAAAGAGTTTGTCTTACTAAAGTCAAAGGCTGTTAAAGTAAAGTAATAGGCCGTACTCTTTGCAACGAACATCCAATCGCTTGTAAAGGAGAAAAACAGCATTTTTGCTTGCATACAATTGGAAGATGGAAGTGAACAGGACTTCATCTAGTTCACTAAGTTAAGAGAAAATTCCCTTTCAGAGTGCAGTTACCCTTGCAAAAATTAACAGCCTATTTGCCTTTAGTAAACCAACCCCAAAAGCTTCCCAGAGTGTAGGAAAATCTAATATTTGCCAGTACTCATTGTATGAATGATGAATGTCCCCATTGAGAGATCCCCTTCTTGTTCCATTGACAGACATTGACCACTGAAAACTTTGAATTTCCCTTTACTTTCCTGAGTTGATTTACTAAAGTTAAATAGACTGTTTACTTTGCAAGAGAAGTGG